CGGGGGCGGGAGAGCGGGCCCTGGGAGGCCGGACCAGCCCTCCCTGCCCCGGGCGCCATGCGGAGCCGCCCCTGACCGGTCTCTGGCCGCAGAGCTTCTGGAGGTTCCTGTTCCGGAAGAGCCTGCCGCCCACCGCCCTCTGCCAGGTGGACTTCGCCGTCGTGGGCCTCGGCGACTCCTCCTCTGCCAAGTGAGTGGGGCGCCAGGCTGCTGGCCGGGGGGCTGTCCTGGGAGAGGGATTGGCACCCCAGCCTCCAGGGCTCCTGCCAGGCTGGGCCACAGCCCTGGGCCCTCGCCCCACTGGGGCTCCTGTGTGGGCGCCTCTGTGGGTGGGCGGGGTGCGACACGGGCCCAGGTGGGGCACCCAGGGGATGTCCAGGGCTGCCGCCAGCCAGCGCCAGGCGCTCACAGGGGACAGGGCAGCCAGCTCTTGCCGCACTTTTATAGAAACACGTTTCGTGAGACGGTCGGCTTGTTGCAAACAGTGCAGAGGTCGGCGCGGGGGATGGGCAGTGGGTGCAAAGGGCCGCAGGCCCAGGAGCCCCGTGGCCACCACTCCGGCCCCAGTGTAACCCTCGGTTTTTCTCAGCGTCTTCACGACACAGCGTGTCCCAGCAGGGGGCAGTGTTGCTCTGGGTTATTTCCCAAGTGAACACCTAGGGTTAACGTTCAGGCTGCACGTGGCAGCAGGTCACGGCGTCAGAACCCTGACCGTCCAGCAGGGTTAGGGCTGAGGGGTCCGACGCCTCAAAGCCAGGCCGTGGGAGGAGGCGCACGCTCGGGCTGGAGAAAAGGAGGGACATGGTGACTGTGCCCCTCCTGCTTCCAGCGTCCCCGGGAGGGCTCCTTCAGGGAGCTGCACCGAGGCCAGACGACCCTGGGAGATGGGGAGACGTGGGGCTGCCCCCCGCTGCCCTCCAGGACCCCACGTACAGTGCTGCCCGCTGCCCTCTGCCTGCATGGCTGGCTGGGCTGCTTCCCTCACCTCCCGCCCGGTGCCCGCAGCAACCTCCCTCTCTGCACAGGTTCAACTTTGTGGCCAAGAAGCTGCACCGGCGGCTGCTGCAGCTGGGGGGCGCCGCCCTGCTGCCTGTCTGCCTGGGCGATGACCAGCACGAGCTGGGGTGAGTGTGCCAGGGAGCGAGCGCCCCCCGGGCGGGAGGGCAGCCCTGAGCAGTGCCCTCAGACAGCGTTGTGCCCTCTGTCCAGGCCCGATGGCGCCATCGACCCCTGGCTGCACTCGCTGTGGGAGAAGGTGCTGGGGCTGTACCCCGTACCCCCTGACCTCGGCATGATCCCCCCTGGAGTCCCGTG